AAGGCAAATGTACAAACAAATAGCTCTGCGCAAAAACAGGTCAGTAAATATAAGAACGCGTCAGTGGCAAGCGTTGCTACAACTAATTTGTCTTGTTCTTTATGTAAAGAAAATCATTATTTATATCATTGCGAAAAGTTTGCTAAGTTGCCTGTAGATGAGAGAATTAAGCACATAAAAAAGTGTCACATCTGTATTAATTGCTTAAGATCGTCTTCGCATCAAGCGAAAGCATGTCATTCGGGTCCATGTCGTAAATGTCATAAAAAGCATAATACTATGTTACATTTATCGACGACAGACGAGTCAAATCAAGCTTTAAATTCAAGTGCAAATTCAACGCGAGTAGATAGCTCTCAGCTTCCTGTTTCTACGCAATGCGTAGCAAGTTACCTCTCTTCAAGTATTTTATTATCCACAGCTGTTATTCACATATATGACTCCAACAATCAGGCATATCCATGTCGAGCTTTGCTTGACAGCGGTTCGCAAATGAATTTCATAACTAAGGAGCTTGCTGATAAATTGCAGCTTGAGGAGAGATCACTTCAAGTTTCAGTATCAGGAGTAATGGAGGGAGTAATTCATGCTAAAAGAACAATCACTGTATGCATTAAGTCACGTTTCAATAACTTCCGAGAAAAGTTAGAATGTGTCGTGTTACCAACCATTACTCAGCGTTTACCACAACAGGTCATACCTATCCAAAATGTAGCCATTCCAAAAAATATAAGGTTAGCAGATCCTAATTTTAATATACCCGCGAATATTGATATGTTAATAGGGGCTGAATTGTTTTGGAAAACTATGTGTGCAGGTCAAATTAAGCAAGCAAAGTCGCAGCCCATTTTGCAAAAAACACATTTTGGTTGAGTTATCTCCGGTCCCATAACAAATGTTAAAGCTAGATCAATCCATGTCAGTAATTTTCACGTAACTTTACTAGACAATTTAAACTACATGTTGAAGCGGTTCTGGGAAATAGAGCATAATATCGAGGAACCTCAATTGTCTGAAGAAGAGAAAGCATGCAAAAGGATTTTCTTAGAAAAGTAAAGCGGAATGAAGAAGGAAGATTCGTTGTAACATTGCCAGTAAAGCAAGATAAACTAACCAACTTGGGCGAATCTCGTGAGATAGCTATGCGACGCTTCAAGGCACTTGAATCCAGGTTGATATCTCAGCCAACTCTCTACAAGGAATACAAGTCTTTCATGCATGAATACGACTCACTTGGGCATATGCGTGAACTAATCAATGATCAGATATCAAATCCAAAAATTACATCATTTTATCTACCGCATCACGCGGTGAGAAACGAAGCAAGTACCACGACCAAAGTCAGGGTTGTATTCGACGGATCCTGCAAAACTACCACGGGTATTTCACTAAACGATACCTTGATGGTCGGTCCTACACTACAGGAAGATCTTTTTGCAATTCTAACGAAATATCGCACCTTTAAGATAGCATTATCAGCTGACGTAAGCAAAATGTACAGGCAAGTCTTAGTAGATCCAAGTCAGACAGCCTTGCAGCGCATTCTATGGCGCAATTCTGATGACGAACCTATAAGAACACTCGAATTACTAACAGTTACTTACGGAACAGCATCAGCGTCATTTCTGGCGATCAGATCTTTAAGGAAACTTGCTGAAGAGCATTCTGAGCAATATCCACTAGCCTCCAAGATAGTCTTGAGAGATTTCTACGTCGACGACCTGGTGTCAGGCGCAGATACATTACAGGAAGCATTACAAATCAAAAGTGACTTGATGCAGCTTTTACAAACTGGAAAATTTGAATTGCGAAAATGGGCTTCCAATGAGCCTGCTTTAAGAGATAATCAAGATACACCTGGTCATAGGGAATTTATCCTTGCAAACGACAAGAATTGTAGAAAGAAGAACTTTAGGCATAGTCGTGGGATTGCAGTTCAGATTCTTTCAAATTCCCCAGTATTGCTTCTCTTCCGCCAATAGAGAAACCTACTAAGAGAAGCATCTTATCACGCATTGCACTAATTTTTGATCCACTAGGATTACTTGGACCAGCAACAGTTTTTGCTAAGATTGTCATGCAAGATTTATGGCGTCTAAAGATGGACTGGGACGAATCCATTCCTTTAGATCATCTGATTAAATGGCAGCGCTATAAAGGCGAGTTACAGGATCTACAGAGCATTAGCATTCCACGTCGTGTCATAACAATTAATCAGCCTGTTCATTTGGAAATGCATGGATTTTCGGATGCAAGCGAAACTGCCTTCGGTGCATGCATTTATTTGAGAGCCACATCAATTAGCGGAGAACACTCAGCGCACTTACTTTGCTCAAGGTCGAGGGTAGCTCCATTAAAAACCCTATCATTGCCTCGGTTGGAACTATGCGCGTCAGTACTACTAGCACAATTAGTTAATAAGATATCAAAGTGCCTTCCATGCACCATAAATGCCACCTATCTTTGGACCGATTCTACGATCGTATTATCTTGGCTTCAAACTTGTAGCAGAGAATGGACAACGTTTGTTGCAAATAGAGTGGCTGAAATTCAGCAGTTAACTCCAATTCAATATTGGCACCACATTCGAAGTGAAGACAATCCAGCTGATCCTTTATCAAGAGGCGTTATGCCTAATACTTAATCATACTAAACCTTTGGTGGTCAGGACCTCCATGGTTATCTCGGGATAAAAATGAATGGCCACAAGGTCTCCCTGCGATCAATGCAGAGGAATTGTCTGAAAGAAAAGCAAAGGCAACCCTTACAACTATGGCAGCTAGTCAAGAATTTAACATATTCCATCTATATTCTAAATTAACGAAACTCATCCATGTAGTAGCATACTTGCTACGTTTCTCAAGAAACTCAAGAAGAGTCAACAAACAGAATGCACAAGAACCTTCGAAAAACTCCAGCCACAAAATTCCACCAGTTTCAAGAGAAGAGCAGAAACAGGCTACTCTATGCCTAGTAAAACTAATTCAGAGCAAGCATTTCCAGGATGAGCTCAAATCTCTTGCCAAACATGGCGTTGTAAATAAAAATAGCCCCACTCTGCGACTAAATCCATTTATAGATGATACTGGAATCTTAAGAGTCGGCGGACGATTAAGGGCATCCAACCTACCCTATGCCGCTAAGCATCCTATACTGCTACCTGGTCACCATTCATTCTCGCATCTTATTGTCGTGCATGAGCACGAAAGACATTTGCACGCCGGGGCACAAGCCACTTTAGCAGCAGTCAGACAAAACTACTGGTTAATTTCTGCTCGAAATATCACGCGTCAAATAGTGCGTAAATGCGTGGTTTGTTTCAGGAACTCTCCTCAACCAGCTTCGGCTATAATGGGCAATCTTCCAAGCTCACGAGTAAATGTACTCAGTCGACCATTTGAAAAACGTGGAGTGGACTACGCAGGTCCTCTCTATCACAAGGAAAGTACACGAAAAAATACAAGGCTCATCAAATGTTACATGGCCATTTTTGTCTGCATGGCAACAAAGGCCGTCCATATCGAATTGGCGGTAGATCTATCCACCGAAGCTTTTTTGAACGTTCTTAAGCGTTTTATATCAAGACGAGGCTGTCCATCGGATGTGTTCTCTGACAATGGACTAAATTTCGTTGGAGCTGCCCGTGAATTAAATGAGCTATCCACGCTTCTCAATGATGAGAAGGCACAGCAGCAAATTAATGCGTATGCCTCACACCATGGAATATGTTGGCATTTTATACCTCCTCGGGCGCCACATCATGGAGGCCTCTGGGAAGCTGCAGTAAAGAGTGCTAAACGGCATTTACTTAAAATAACTAAAGACGCTCATCTAAAGTATGAAGAATTGCCAACTCTACTTATACAAATAGAAGCGATTTTAAATTCACGCCCATTGACACCAATATCATCAGATCCAAGTGACTTGTTGTTTCTCACGCCAGGGCACTTTATTATAGGTACGCCTCTTACAGCATATCCTGGAGAATCTTTGGAAGAGGTTCCTATAAATTGTCTCTCAAAATGGCAGCATGTCCAACAATTAAGACAGCATTTTTGGAAACGTTGGACACGCGAATATTTGCATCAATTCCAACAAAGAAACAAGTGGCAAACTACAGACTTGTCGCTTAAGATTGGTCAAATGGTCATATTGATCGAAGATAACACTCCACCATTGGCATGGAGCCTGGGAAGAATACAAGAGACCCATCCTGGTGATGATGGAGTATCACGGCTACTATCCGTACCGCTAAGGGTATCTATAAGCGCCCGATTACTCGATTGTGCCCCCCCCCCCTACTTCCCATTGAACCAAATGAATTATCAATTTGACTATTAGCTTCAACTCTAGTATTAACCTTAGCTTAAGTTATATTAGTTACGAATACCCGTTTCTTTTGTTGTGTAATTCAATTAATTATAAGCTATCAATTTTCTGTATTCCTCTTTTGAAAGGTGATCCTTTCAAGGGCGGCGGCATGTACACGCTTTAAACAAACATGTTCTGATTAATTTTAATTTGGCGCCAGGGCACTGAAAATAGTACGTGCGTGCTCTAATGGGCGTTTCCGCCGCGTGGGGGCATGCGCCCGCACAGTTTTTGTTTTTCGTCGCGTTCAGAAGAAGCCAGTAGTAGGAGTGTAGCGTGTGTACAGTCATGAAGACTACCTCATAATAAAGTTGAGCCATATATACAATTATTTGAGTTTTCTTATTACAAAGAGAGAGGAACATCACCTCTCAATGTGCCACAAGGCAACAAAAGAGAAAAAGCGCGTTCACATACGCAAAGGGCACCAAGCCTCATCACTAACAGCACTTATGTTGTCTATCAGAAATAATCTATAAAAATACATCTCTTATACATGTAAAAGGTTTACATGCAGTTATGCAGAAAATTGAATTGGTTTATGAGAGAAAAAACATGCTAAAATTAATATTAATAAATAAGTCAATTGTTTGCAGTGTTTTGGAAAACAATAGCTTGATATGGTACTCTTTTATTTTAAATGCCAACAAAGTTCAATGTGAGCAAACAGTTAGTGCACCAAACAAAATACAAATATATCATTACATTTATTTGTAAGGTTGCTATGAAATAATAAACATAAACATAAAACATGTAATTTAAAAAAGTTGAACCTCGAATCTCCGAAATAACTACACGGCTTTAAAAATTGATTGCGTTAAACGTTAAATGATAAGTTTTAGTAGTCCATACTACATTTCTCTTAAAAAAATTATTTTTTAACTTTCATAGTGTCCAAGATATAAAAGATGCTAATAATTATTGACTTATATTTTATAGAACAAGATAATTATAGAGTAAATAAGCACACTATTTTAATACATATATGTGCGCATAAAGAATTTATTATATCATCAACGTATCATTTAAATTTGTAAACAAAAAAATATTGTTTTTGAAAATTATAATTTATTTACTTTTTACAGGATAAAAGTGAGACTGAAGTCGTAGTTTAAAATCCCGCAGCTGATTGAATACGTCATCATGAATAATTTTGTGACATTTTATTAAAGTTACTTTAAAATAAATAATTTCATTTATTTGTGAGATTTCCAAAATGAATAAAAAGTTATATTCAATTTGACTGAGAACTTATATTGATTCAGACAGTGCATTTGGGGCAATATATTTAGCCCCAAATTATGTGTAAAACAATATATTTTAACAAATTTACGACGTAATGCAGATAAGAAAAATTACATGAATCTGACATCGATTACTGACCATTGTCAATATGACATCAGGATAAAATTTCTATATCTCTATTATTAGTATTATTAAGGGGATGCTGGAGTTACCGGCCGGACATTATATTTTTTCGAACAAGAATATCTTTTTATTGGTTGCATAGAATTGTAAATCCTTTTGCAGGAGTAAAGTGTACACAAAAACGGAATTCGGGCTGCTCGACTTTATTTGGAAAAAAAGAATTAATAACAAAATTTGTTTCTATTCATTAATTTCTATTCTGCTCTTAG